TCATTCCTAAATTTTGAGGAACCTAACACACCTCTCCCTAGTTTGGCTATCTTTTTATTGCAGGAATTTGAAGATCTGTTTCCGAATGACATGCCTAGTGGATTACCAACCATTTGAGGTATTGAACATCAAATTGACTTCGTTCCTAGAGCTGTCATTCCAAACCGACCAACTTATAGAAGTAATCCAGAGGAGACAAAAGAGTTTCAGAGGCAAGTGAAGGAATTGATGAGCAATGGGTACGTGAGGGAGATCATGAGTCCATGTGCCTTTCGAGTGCTACTTGTGCCCAAGAAGGATAGAACTTGGAGGATGTGCGTGGATTGCTGAGCTATCAACATGTTTAGCAAAATAAACTTTAAAAGTGGATACCACCAAATTCGAATGCGGGAAGGTGATGAGTGGAAAACTGCTTTTAAAACTAAATATAGGTTATATGAATGGTTAATTATACTATTTGGACTCACTAATACACCGAGCACTTTTATGCACTTAATGAATCATGTCTTACGTGCTTTTATAGGTAAATTTGTTGTTGTGTACTTTGAGGATATTTTAGTATATACTAAAGACCTTAGTGAGTATGTAGAACATCTCAAAAGTGTACTTGTGGTTTCAAAGAAAGAACAACTTTATGCTAATTTTAAAAAGTGTACATTTTGCATGAAAAATGTTGTTTTCTTAGAATTTGTGGTGGATGCTAATGGGGTAGAAGTTGATGAGGAGAAAATAAAAGCTATTAAAAAATGGTCAACACCTAAAAGCAAAACTGAAGTTAGGAGTTTTCACGGATTGACTAATTTTTATAGGCGTTTTGTAAAAAACTTTAGCAAAATTACTGCACTACTCACAAAAATTGTTAAAAAAAGTGTGGAATTTCATTAGGGTGATGAACAAATGCATGCATTTAATATAATTAAGGATATGTTGTGTAAGGTACCAGTTTTAGCACTTCCTAATTTTGATAAAAGTTTTGAGATTGAATGTGATGCATCGGGAATATGTATTGGTGCTGTTTTGATACAGGATAGAAAATCAATTGTGTACTTCAGTGAAAAGTTGAGTGGAGTAGCAATTAATTATCCCACGTATGACAAGGAGTTATATTCACTTGTTCGAGCTTTGGAGACATGGCAGCACTACTTGTGGCCTAAGGAGTTTGTGATACACACGGATCATGAATCATTGAAGTATTTGCGAGGTCAAGACAAGCTGAACAAAAGGCATGCGAGGTGGATGTAGTTTGTAGAGACATTTCCTCATGTCATCCGATACAAGTAAGGTAAGGAAAATGTGTGATCGAAAATGAGTTTGAGAAAAAAAATTGATTTAATAAATGTCAAACCGTGGCTTATTATCCACACATTTCGTATAATCAAGAACTATTCCTCTTAAAAAGTGATTAAGTCCATGTTTGATACGGATTAAAATTTACATTTTAATCTAAGTTAAAGTTAGTAATTAATTTTAATCAAATATTTCATGGGACCACATTTGGGAAAATAAGTTTTAGAATGGTATTTTTTTAAAGAATATTAAATAGTAGGAAAAATTTTGGGTTTACTTGCAAAATATTTTATTGTGTGAATGTGATTGAAAATGAGTTTGAGAAAATAGAATTTTGATTTAATAGATGTCAAACAAAGGCTTATTATCCACACATTTCGTATAATCAAGTACTATTCCTCTTAAAAAGTTATGAAGCCCCTATTTGGTACGAATTAAAATCAACATTTTAACCTAAGTCAAAGTCAATAATTAATTTTAATCATATATTTCGTGGGACCATAACTTTTCAACAATACATTTTATTAATTTTTATCAAAATCTACTAAAAATGTGATTTTAATCTCCATCAAGCGAGAGCTAATAGTTTTAGATGAACACATCTTATGAACGAAAAATGATTTCCAATTCAAGAAAAATTCATTTTCTTCACTATGATCATGCAATTAACGTTTTCTCTTCTAATATTCATACTAGGATAGTCGGGATGAAGAGTACATTACATTCATGAAATCGTACGCTAAAAAATTTTAAAAGGTGGCATGAATTCAATTATTAGTACTAATACTGCAATTAGGATGGTGCTTAGCTCCCTCCAATAGATTTCTAAGGATGTAGATTGAGGCCTCCTTGTGCGGCCAGAGAAGAACTTTCTATTGTAACCTTTGCTCCTTGTGTAGGTTGAAAAGAGTGACGAACTAATTTTTCTCTTTTGGGTTGCTAACTTTGCCATGGTGGTTGATTTTGATGAGTATGTTGATCATACGAGGAAGAACCCATCTGATCAAAACCAGCCATATTGAGAAAATCTCTATGAGGGAATGCTCTAAGACCTAAGAAATCTCTCGTCAATTCATCATTGCCCCCAACTCCACCTCCACTTCCACTGCCGCCAGCAGCGGTGGCTTCTTTTCTTACAATATTCAAATGTGAAGTCCCAGGATTTGGAAGATTACCTTGAAAATTATTGTCTCGTTTTGAGTTCAACATTCTGTTGAAAGGATCCTCAAAGGCTGATGATCCTTCGAACCCACTATTTGGAGCCAAAGAAGTCAATATATTCATATCATGAAGCATAGAAGAATTGGCCCCCACAGTTGCACCTACAAGTTGTTCCATGCAACCTGAGGTGACATTGACAAAACCTGTTCCTATCTCTTCACGTGAAGAGGACAAACCCAGTCCAGCACCAGCTGTAGATGAGGCCAATGATGTAGCACTGTATCCCGGTGCACCCATGTGAGCCAGGTGGGCCCTAAAAATTCGATCTGATTGAGCAGTACATGTTTTGGTGCGGCTGCTGCTCATTGTAACCCCAATTTGTGCTGCCTTTTGCAGCAATGCAGTTGCAGACATGTGATGAGAAGGATTAAAACCAGAAGAAAATGTGGGATTTTTAGGGTTTGTGTTTTCTTGATGGAGAATTGACTGTTCTAACCTTGATGACGAGGAGTTAAATAATTCACTAGGTGGTGGACATGGTGCACCTAGACCAGATTCTACTGTCATCCATTGAGGTATTTCTGTTCTCGAACTGAAAATATGTTGTTCTTGTTTGAGTGAAAATGGTTGAAGGCCATGGAGGGGGGGTGGGTGGGGTGTAGATGAAGTGCCTTGTTGAGAAGACAAAAGTGGGTTCATTTGTGTCATTGATCTTGCACTTTCTTCTGCCAAAGCATCACAAAAAGCTCTGTGGGTGATGAAACTGTCCCTCCTGTGAAGAAATTACAAACAAACAAACACAAGAAAACAAAAAGAACAAACCATCAAAAAGTGCTTGAATAGTCAAAATAGTGCTCCTCTATTGTAAACCCTATTGTGTTTTTTCTTTTTTTCCTCCCCCATCATTTTGTATTATATCGATAGAAGACTCCTGCACTGTACACACGAGTAAGGTTATTGTCAATGCTAAAAATTGCTTTTTGCAGAGAAGTTGCTATAAAGTATAACTTTAGATCCATCCTTTTTCACCCTCTATCCCATAAAAAAAAAAGAGCAAAGGAAAGAACAATGAATATCAACTAGAAATATCATTCAATAATATTTGATTTTTACAAATATATGAAATAATACATAACCGTGTTTAAACAATGTTTTCATTATTTAGTTAAACTGTGTACCGTGCATAAAGAATTAACGTAATGTTGATGGACCGACAGATGGAGTGATAGGGTTAATAATAAGGAAATAAATCTCGGGTTTTAAAATCTGATTGAAACGAAGTTCTTACCTCGAAAAGAGTGTTCCACAATCACACCTATACTCTCTGGTACCACAAATTTTCGAATGAGCTTTCCAATCGGACTGAACAGCGTAACGTTTCGAGCATTTTTCACACTTCCATTTCTTCTCACCATGTTTTCTGCTGAAGTGTTTCTTTATACCAGTAAGGTCCCCCAGTGCCCTTGAAGGATCATGGTGCACACAGCTTGGTTCTGGACATACATAAACCTTCTTCTTTACTATCTCTTGGTTGTTTCTTTGCTTTAGTTTCCATGGTAAATTATGTCCTCTTCTGTGTAATTGAAGATTCTGATCTCTCTGAAATCCCTTGTTGCAAATCTCACATATAAATCTATTTGTTGCCATAAGACTTCTTGGAGATAAAGCTACCACCTCAGCCTCAGGGTCTGAAGGCCAAGAGAAAATCTTTAATTAATTTAAAGAAAAATGAAGAAACTACCAAACTAGACAAATCAGTGGATGCCATATAGGAAACATTTGGATTTCGACCCCAATACGAATACTGTGGAAGCATCTCATCTAAAATTGAAGAGGAGACACTTTTTTTGTTTCTAATTAGTCTTCAACAAGCCGTCCTCACATGCAGGTCAGATGTTACATCAAGCTTTTAGAAAGGGTATATATTTATTTATTTGAATTTAACCTTTAGTATTTATATTGTACTTGCCTGGATTGCCGGGAAGATTTCTTTTCTTCTTAGCTGGAGGTAGTGTCGGATTATCAGTTGAAATTGCAAAGGACTGTTGTGGGTAAACAGTTGTGGCAATTTCAGTTCTGTTGCTTGAAGATATGCTAGCTTCATTTGATGCAGATGTTAAATTTGACATACTGTCATCAACCAACATACCTTGTAACATTCTCTCTCTATTTCTTGATTCCTTGTACTCTTTTCAGGGTTTTCTATTACCAAACAAGAAAATATATATAAGATTCACTGATAATCCATAGATCTGCAGCTTTTTCATAATGAACACAGAAACCCTAATTTGTCAAAGGCTTATAAAAAGTGAAGCTTATGAAAACTATTACAGCTTTCTTAATAATCCTCACTTTTCTCCCAAGCACACTAAACAATCAACAAACAGAAAAAGGGATTAAAAATTTGTCAAAAAGGAAAAAAAAATTGAAAAATTCTTCATGCAGTAAGCCTTTTTCCTATATACAGATGAAAACATTACCTGTTGGTAGCTGCCTACAGCTAGAGAATTCTACAGAAGCCACACAAAGTAAGAGAGAGAGGGAGAGGAGAGAGTGAAAGAGAGATGTGGATGAGAAGGTATCCCTCTCTTTACTTCACCCCATCAACAAACCATAGGCTAAGCCACCAAGCCTCCTCTGACGTTACACTTTGTCTTTTCTTTTGTTTTCTTGTAAACACTAGGAGTTCAATAATTGTAATTTCTTTATCAATATCTAGTGTATATATGCATAGGTTAATATTTTCTTTCTTGGTTTTGTTACTTGTTCTGGTTAGAGGGAATATTAGTCCTTTGTTAAAGAAGAATAACTTTTGAATTTTTCACCACTTCCAATTCCTCACAAAAGACAGACATAAAGGAACATAAAATTAGGAGAAATCAATTTATATGTTTTTAATCCGCCTATATAGATTTTGCATGTATGATGTATATATGTTTAATATAATTTCGAATGTGAAAATGGAGAGATTAGTAATTAGTGTTAAAAAGTGAAACGTACATCTTTTCAATTATAACGAAGATATTGTACATTTTTTGAATTGTAATGAAGAAATTGACGAGACATGTATTTTTAATGCTAGGTTTTGTCTAGGTTGGCCTACTCTAAAGAGGATTGCGAGGATGGTTACAATGAAGCAACATCGTGCACGTAATTTGATGGATGACAATTCAAAATACGAAGATGGCTGCAGTCAATGGATTGACTTATTTTTTTATTCATATTTTCTTTTGTTTGAGGTTAAGTGTTTGATTTAGTTTAAAAA